TATGGTCATAATGATTTTCAGAAGTAGGTTGAGTGTTTAACTGTTTTGGATAACTTTCAAAAGTGTACAAATCAATGTTATTTGGTGTTTGAGAATTGTCTGTCATGCTTGATATAGAATCAAGTGTTGTATTTTTATATGGAAAGATCATTTCATAAAATTTAACATTTCTTGAAATGAAAATTTTATGATTGGATAAATCATAGAGTTTATATCCTTTGGATCCCAAAGGATATCCAATAAAAACACACTTAATTGCCCTTTGGTCAAATTTAGTTCTATTTGCACAAAGGGTAGAAGCATAAGCAAGAGACCCAAAAACTTTAAGATGAGAATAATTAGGTTTGATCCCATAAAGTAATTCAAAAGGGGATTTATTTTTTAGAATTGCAGTAGGTAATCTATTGATAATATGCACAGCAGTCATAACACAATCAGCCCAAAAAATAAGAGGTAAACAAGACTGATATAATAAAGCTCTAGCAACTTGAAGAATATGTTGATGTTTTCTTTCAACCCTAGCATTTTGTTGAGGAGTTTCAACACAAGAAAGCTGATGAATAATACCATTTCTTTTATAAAAATCTGGAAAAATAAATTCAGTACCATTGTCAGTTCTAATGCATTTTATTCTTTTATGAAATTGAGTTTCAATCATTTTATGAAAATTGATCATATGAAATTTAACTTCAGATTTTGTTTTTAGCATAAAAACCCAAGTACAACGAGTATGATCATCAACAATAGTAAGGAAATACTTAAAACCAGAATAAGAAGTAACTCTATATGGTCCCCAAACATCCATATGAATTAAATCAAAAGCAGAAGTAGCATAAGAATCACTGTTATTGAAAGGTAATCTCTTTTGTTTAGCAAAGTGACAGATATCACAAGGAACAGTACTAGTACAATTATTAGCAACATTACAATCAAACAGCATGTTGAACTTTGTATAAGGAAAATGACCTAATCTATAATGCCAAATATCAGGACTTTCAGAATGAGTGTTTGCAGAATTAGCAACAGATTGGAAAGCAGATTGATGATGGTTTGGGAAAGAAGAAGTTGCAGGATTGTAATGATATAGTCCATTTTGAATTTCAGCAAAGCCAATGATTTTGTTGGTAAGGTGGTCCTGCAATGCAGCATGATTGGAACTAAAATGAACAGATATGTTCTCATAGAGGGCTAAACTAGAGACAGAAATGAGATTAAAACTGAAATTAGGAACATAAAGCACATTATGCAATGTCAGATTATCAGTAAGAATAATGTCTCCTATATGAGTAGCTTGAATAAAAGTACCAGTTGGTAATTGAATATTTATAGAAATAGATTTAGTGTTTGAAGTATAAAGACAGAAATCAGAAATCATGTGGTCAGATGCACCAGTATCAAGAATCCAGATAGGAAATTTTTTAAAAGCATTAAAACTAAAATGTTTACCTATGAACTCACTGTGATTGGTGAGAGAAGTATCACCAGCATCATTAATAGCCAGAGCAACATTAGCAGAAGCAACATTAGCAGAAGCAGACTTTGTCTGTTGAGTATGCATAAACTGAAGAAACTTGTTGTAAAGGTCAGGATCACAGAAATCCAAGTCATTAGGAATAGATTCCTCAGAAACATTTGCTAGATGAGCTTGAGGAGTTTTTGTTGAAAGTTGAGAAGATTTGAAACCAGGGGCAAATCTTTGACCTTTAGGTCCTTTCCAGTTGTTGGGATAACCAATAATTTGGAAACATTTTTCAGCTGAATGACCTTGGTAACCGCAGTGAGTACAAGTAACATTGCTTTTCTTTTTAGAAGAATGGAATTTGGCAAGAAAAGCAGTGGAGTCATGAATAGGGATTTGAGAAGCAGAGGATTGATCAGTGAAAAGTGGAATAGAACCAGTAGGATTCTGAAGAGATCTTTGGGATTCTTCTTGAAGAAAAGAAGAGTATACTGTGGTCAGAGTCAGATTTGGTTGAAGAAGAATTTGACTTCTCAAATTAGAGTAAGATTCATTCAAACCAATGAGGAATTTCATAACAGAATCTCGGTCAAGCAATTTTTGATAAACTTCATTGATTTTGCAAGTACAGAGACCACAGTTACAAGTAGGAATAAGGCGGTAATTCACATATTCATCCCACAGACTTTTAAAAAGATTATAATAAGCAGTGATGGTTTGTGTTCCTTGAGAAATATTAGTTAGGGTTTTCTCCAGATGAAAAACCCTGGGACCATCGCTCTTATCATAACGAAGCTTGATCTCATCCCAGAGATTCTTGGCATCAGTAAAGTACAGAAAAGTGGAACGAATATCAGGAGAAATAGAATACATCAACCAAGATAGGAGAAGAGCATTGATACGATACCAAGAAGAATAACGCATCTGATCATCAGTTGAAGGTTGTTTGATCGATCCATCCAGAAACCCTAGCTTGTTCTTGACCGTGAAGGACATAACAACTGACTTCTTCCATGCACTGAAATTGTCGCCTGTGAAGGTTTCATAGATGATGCGGGTACCCGAGTGATCTCCTGGATGAAGATAGTAAGGAGAAGTAGGATCCTCAATAGGGTTTGGAGGATTCATAGTAGGATTGAACGAATCGATCGTAGAAATCAATTAAGGAGAACCGATTGTAGAAATCGATTGAAATAACAACGGAAGAACGGAAGAGAGAATATAGATCGTGTTTAGGCTAATCTGATACCATATTACAAAGATAAAGCAGAAAAATGAGGTTCTTGGAGAATATCACTTGAAGAAGATGATCTGAGAAATATTGATAGAACAATGTAGAAGAGAATGAATAGCTCGATAATGAACTACAGTACATACTTTATATTTATACAATAGGATAGAACTACTAATAAAGCCCAAATAACAAATGGCCCAACAACTACTAATTAATCATAAGGAAACAGCAATCAGCCCAGCATTTATTCTTGATATGATGATTTTCTCTCTCCAGTGTAGTGCTTTTACGTATAAAATTATATGGTACAACGATACAGCCGGTTGTACCATGAGCATGATACAACCGACATTTTTGTAATTAACTGTAGTTTGTAGGGTAATAGTTAGGCCGGTTCTGTCCTTTTGCTTTTCTTTCTTCCGCCGGCATTTTCTTTCTGCTAGATCATTTGTTAATCGTTAACTTTTTTCTTTTGTCATTTCCCTTTTATTTTTTTCGTTACGTGTACTGCTAGTTGGTTTTCTCTTTTTCTTTAATTTTCTAATGTCTTTTTACATTTCTTCTTTTCGTTGCTTTGACCTATTGTTTCCTTCTTTCTTTTTCTTTATTTTTTTAACACTGTTTTACTTGGTTGTCAAAAAAATATTTTACTTTAATGTTATATCCAATTATGAAGGTGTATAAAATATTATTAAATGTTTCAGTTTATTTTTTTTCTTTCTCCAATCTAGCTTCCAACTTAAGTTTTTTATTTATGTATTATAAAATATTGTAGGTATTAATGTTTTATTTTTCTATTTTTAATTTAAAATGAATATTTATTAGTTTATTAAATATTGTGTGTTAATTACTAACGCGTGTTTTGTGTTATGTTATACTAAAATGAGTATAGTGAAATAAATATGCATGGGTAAAACATTATAAAAGAACCCGATTATATTTGTAATTCGAGAACAAAATATTATAAATTATTTTTAATATAAACTACTATATTTGTCATTATATGCGCACAAATGAGCATTTGAATACATTACATAATTCAAACGAGCTTTTGAATTTTTCAATACTCATTTTGTTAGTTATGCATGTTCATCTGATACTGATTTTATGCTCATTTGAAAATGTCATATTAATGCAGATATCAAAAGCATCATTTTAGATTCACATAAGAGTTAGATAATATACATTGGAGTAAAGATCATGATACTCAATTGCATGCTTCTGGTACTCAATAAAAGAAATTTTGATGTTCAATAAAAATGTCTTGAAGTTGGACTAAAAAACTTATGATTTCATATCAATGCTCATTTTGTAAGTATCTTAAGCTCAATTGGTGCTCATGTTATGCTCATTTTAAAAATGCCATATCAATGCATATTTCAAAAGTTGCATATTACATTAGATTCGCGTATTGAAGTTCATATGAATTGATTATTGATAATATTTAGTAAGTTCTTAAAAAGGAAAAATAAGAAAAAGAAAGTGAATTCGAATATATAGAGCAGATCACGACACTCATTGTTAGGCTTCCCATGCTCTACAAAACATGTCTGATGCTCACTAATTAAAATTGCATAATCCTTAAATTGCATGATCCTCAACTAACAAAATTTACGATTTTCATATCAATGTTCATTTATACGTTACGTATGCTAATTTGGTACTGATGTGCTCATTTTTAAAATGTCATAACAATGCATATTTCAAAAGTATCATATTACATTATATTCGCATATTGAAATTCATAGGAACTGTTTATAAATATAATTTAATGATATTTTATAAAAGAAAAAAATAAGAAAAAGAAAGTGAATTAAATATATGAAGTTGATATCACAATACTCATTATTCGAGTCTTAATGCATAGTAGAATACGTATGATGCTCATTAAAAGTGTATTAATGTTCATATGATGAAAACCGCGATTTTCACAGAAATTATGAAAATGCCACCATTTTTTAGTTGCGATATCAGCTTTCTCGTAATAACACGGTGCTCACTATTAGACTCTTAATACTCATTAGATATGGACTATTACTCATTAACAGTACACTAATGCTCATTTAGCAAAAACCTCGATTTTCACATTATATTACAAAATGCCACCGGCTGTACGATGCTCACCGTACAGCCAGTTGTACAGTGGACGGACGTCATTGAGTGTAACCTAGTTTTTTCTTATTTTATTTTTACAAACTCTTTCATTTTTTATCATTTAGCTTACTTACTCCGTTGTTACTTTAATTTATTAGTCTCATAGTTATTATGTATGATGACTAGTTTAATAAATATAGATATTGTGACTTTAAGCAGGGCCTGGTTGCTCATCACTTGGAGTAGGTGCCTTTAACGAGGTTGGACCTTTTGGCGTCAATCCTGATGGCAAAACTCTTTATGCTAGGAAATTTGCTTGGAATAGAGGTATATACATGTCAATTGAGTTATTGAGATTTAATAAAAATCCTTCTCATATGTGGTGCTTCTATTTTTATGGAAAATATCTAATATTAAACCATCAAATAAAGATTAATTATTTCATAACGAAGTTACTTCAATTCCTTGATATTTGGATATATCTTGTGATGATTCAATATTTCAAATGATTGAATTTCTATGAAAATAGCCATGTTTCACTTTAGTATATATGCAAATAGTCGGTTTTATTATATTGAATATTATTTCCAATATATATATATATATATATATATATATATATATATATATATATATATATATATATATATATATATATATAGCCTATATATATACCCAAAATAAGAACAAATCATATTCACCCAAAATAAAAGATCTACGGCATTATTGAGTTTAAAACGGTGACATAAATGAAATTAGTCCAAACTAATTTGGACAACTAACGGAGCATCTCACGTTAACTTAACTGAAAGTTTACAATGATAATTTAATTATTAATGGTAACCAACTCTTTCCTTTAAGGCGGTTAAATGGATTCCAAAAGTCAGCAAACTAGGTGAGACAATTACACGGATGGAATATAGTTATTGTGTATTAGTGCATTGTTACTTCTATTATCCACCATGTATTAGTGCATTGTTACTTCTATTATCCACCATGTGTTACTTTTTCATAGTACGTACTTTTATTTATTGAATGAATAACATGCTTTATTTATTTTTAGTGTATATCTAGATGACTAATTCACATATATTACGGAGTAATTAACATATAAAAAAGTTAATTGGGGTAAATTTAGTTAATGATGTTGCACATTATGGTAAAAATAATGCACAATTTAACGTGGTATAACAATTTAATTTTTTTAAAAAAGTAATTGCACTTTGTGATTAGTGACAAGCACATTTTTGTTTCAAAGTGGTATAACATTTTATTTTATTTTTAAAATGTGGCTTCACTCTGTGATCCATTACAATGCACATTTTTCTTTTACATAGTGCACAATTTTAACAATCACATACATTCATTTTTCGTTTAGATCGCTATCATATATTATTCACTCTATTTACTTTTAGTGTACTTCTAGGCTATTAGTGCACATATATTATTACATAAAACTATCAATTGTGCAAATCATTGCACTAACGTGACAAATGAGAATGATATAAAACGATACACATCTTGGTTAATGATATGATGTTGCACACTTATGGTAAGCATAATGCACATTTTAAAGTGATATAACGATTTAATTTATGACAAGCACATTTTTGTTTCAAATCATGACAAGCACATTTTTGTTTCAAATCATGCACAATTTTTATGATCTGAATCATTCACATTTCTCTTTTAGGATATGATTTTGGAGGAATGGTTTCTCACGTAATAAATGAGAATGACCTAAAACGATGCAAATCTTGGTTAATAATGTTGCACATTTATGGTAAATGTAATGCACATTAATTTAAAGTAGGATAAGAATTTAATTTATTTGAGAATGTACCTGCACTTTGTAATTAATGACAGATTAAACAATTATTTGTTTCAAACTATGCACAATTGTTAACGATCAGATTCATTCTCATTACTCTTTTATAATATGGTTTTGATGAGAACAATTTCTCACGTGAAAAATGAGAACGGCCTAAAATGATGCACATCTTGATTAATGATATTGCATATTTATGGTTCAAATAATGCACAATTCAAAGTGGTATAACAACTTAATTTGTTTAAAAATTGTGGCTGCACTTTGTGATTCATAGGAACGCACATTTTTGTTTCACGTCATGCACAATTTTTAACGATCAGATTCATTCTCATTTTTCTTTTAACTATTCTCTCAATAAGGTGTGACTCTATTATTCATGCATTGCAACCAAAATAATTGTGCATTTACATAATTATTATTGTTATTACTATTTTAAAAATGAAAGAAAGAACTATTATTAAATAATAATTATACTAAAATGCAGCAACATTCTTAAAAAGTGCAATCCAAATTAAATAAAAACGTTTTGAAAGAATATAGCTATTGACAAACAAATACTTTTAAATAATTTTTTAAATACAAGTTAGTTCGGTAGTGTAATACTCTTAATTGGAGAGAGCTTAAAAATGTACTCCCAAAAAGTAAAAAATCTTTGACCAAAAGAGTTGGCTTACAATTATGATCAAGTTGAAAAGTGAATGCTTAAATTAAAGAGTTGACATATATGGAAGTTACGTATGTAATAGTGCCATACGGAGTACATCAAGAGGTGGAGCATCCTTAAATTTAATGACGGCGCATCAACTTATGCCGTTAGTACTAACCCCGGCAAGTTAATTGATCATACGAAATCAATGGTAGAGATGCATTCTTATTCCTCCATTCTTATTCCTCTCATTAGATGATATTCTCATTTGATCCAAACTCTCTCTCTCTCTCTCTCTCTATATATATATATATATATATATATAGGGGAAGGATCAAGTGAGAACATAGGCCCAGGAGAGAAATAAGAACAAAATTGGACCCTGGATTCTTCTGATCGTGCGGCTTGCATCTCAGGATTCGGAGGAAAAAAAATGCACATGATGTGCGCGTGTTGATTTCCAAATCGGCAAGACTTCATAAAAATAATACGTAAGGGGCAATTAAGTAAAAGACTTCAATGAAAGTTGGCATGCACCAGTACACATACGGAAAGAATATCCCAATAAATGTGCCATTATCTTTCAACAAGATAGATTTACCTTGTGCAAATTTAATACTCCGTATGTATGTCCATTACTTTTCAAAAAATTTCGTTTGTCTATTTCACCTTTTCACTTTTTCACTTTTTAAAACATTTCATTTTTTATTTTAATGTATAATATTTCATTAATAGAATGAACATGAGTTCCTGTTTGCACTCCAACCTTGAATGGATGCACTCTTATTTGAAAATTTTGGAATTATTTATTTAAGTATTCTTGTTTATTTGATTTGAAAAGAAAGAATTTATTGTAGATTACATGTGCATTTATCATAGGTAGAAACATTATTATGTGCAAGGATTAAAATTTAAAGTGCATTTCACTGTAATAACAATAATGTGATTTGTAGTTTGATTGTAAATTTTATTATAAGCAAAAACATTTGCACTTTTATCGTTGTAGTTGTGCACTTTCATGTATTTCTAAAAAAAAATTAAAATAAGCATATGCATTTCAAATATAAATATAAGTGCACTATGATATCATACTTTGTAAAATTATATGTTGACACTTTTTAACAAAGCGAAATGCACTTTTATCGTGTATGTTTTAAATATACGGAAAAGTGCACTATTATATCACACAACTGGAACGAAACATTAGCACTTTTTACAAAATATATAATGCAGTTTTTCTTTTCTAAACGTGACAATTATGACATTGTTTTTTGGTGTCCCTATACCAGCAAAAAAGAAAACTAAAAATAATGAAAAGTGCATGAATAAGAATTGATAAGTGCATCAAAATATTATATATTAATGCATATTATGTTATGCACTTTGTACTATTTTAATACATTTTATAATGAATTAATGTAATATTACTTTGCACTTTGTATAGCATCAATCGGCACTTTATCCGTGCACTTGTGCACATCTATATATGGTTTAACTATTGAATGAATGCACTTTTGCTGAAATTATTGTGCATTATGTGTGGAGTATAATTATATGACATGAAGTATATGCACTTTTAATCAACATACTCGTTTTATGTATGCGAATGATATATGTATAGTTGAGTTATAAGGAATTATGCACTTATAAGGAGCATAGCATGCACTACATACTCATTTTATTGAAACATTATACACTACATATTTTATGTTTAAAAAGAGGCATCGTAAGACACTTGCATATTATGCACTTTAAAATGTAAGTAAGTGCAATATACATGTTGTACTATATTCAAAATATTGACCACTTTTAAATGCACTTTTATGCATGGCATATTGCTAATTTTTTACGTGTGCATCATATACTACATAATCATCCACATGATGAATTGTTCCTTGTGTATGCACTCAAAACTCTCAACTCGATAGATATTACTAATTTTATTAGCTTTTCATATACTCATAATTATCTGAGGAAAAGAGTCATGACATTTGTTTGTATTCTTAAATGAAGTGCAAAAGTGATAGATCCAAAGTGCATACTTGAGACCATAAAAGTGCACACATTTTAAAAATTGAAGAACCCTAGTACAATCATGAGCCATTATGTTAACACATAAGTTCACCATAAATGAAAATATCATAATCGTGTATGCTAAAAATTTGCAATTTTTAATGATAATGGGTACGTTAGCATGTCTTGAACAATCCAAATCCACTTTTTAAATTAAACACATCAATCATCGATAATTCAAATTTTAAATGATGTTTTAATGAATCAATATTAATCACATAACATATAAGAGGAAGGAAAAGAATATTAATTAAATAGAGAGTACATCATAAGCCTACAATAAAATTCAAAGAAATAATACTAAAGTTTAATTGCACCAAAAAGTGTCTTGCTTCAATTGTATGTAAACCTCCATGCATCTAATTTGCAAAGTGGATGAAATTCAATAAAATAGAAAAAGAATTATTAGTAAAGCTAGCACTATGAGAACGGAAGTTAATTGAAGTGCCCTCCAAGCGGTGGCAACAATTTCGGAGTTAATTAAACATCGATACAGAAATGACCAACTAATCCCTTAAACATATACACGGTCCTTTAGAATATATAAATGATCCGATGGTTAGTATTTATTCTTAGTTCTCTCATTAGATGACATTCTCATTTGATCCTTACTCTATATATATATATATATATATATATATATATATATATATATATATATATATAGGGGAGAGTTCTAGTGAGAACCCCTCTTAAAATGAGAACTCATTTATAAATGAGAAGTCTTAATCTTCACCATTGATATATCAAATCAAGGGCTACAATGCACATGGGGTCCTTTTGTAATAAATTTATACGGAGTAATAATTACAAAAGTACCCATTTGAATTTTGAATAATTACACAAAGCATAATACATCATTCATATTTTGGAAAATAAAGAAAAGATGAGAAGCAAAACTTATATCTACACGTCATTTTTGCGTGTTTTACACAGGTCTTGTACATTTTATTAGTATCATACACAATTGGTCTAAAAATTGCAAAATTTGTTTGTGACATAGACAAAATATGCGAAGCATATACAATACGTGAACACCAAGAATTACTTTTGTGAATACAGTTGTTAACTTCTTCAAAAAGTAACTATTATCAATTTAGCTAACAATATTTGGTTTAATACATAATGTTGCAGTTGCAAATGTGTTATTTCTGGAGTCCCCTGCAGGAGTTGGTTTCTCTTATTCCAACACTTCGAGTGACTATAATACGTCAGGAGACAAGAGGACTGGTAATTAATACTCCATCTTATAATTGTTTCATTTTTCTTTTTATGTCTGTCTCACTTAAATTTGTCTCATTCATATTTGGTAATATTCGTGTGACTCTAATTCATTCTTACTTTATTATATTCTTACTTTATTCTCGTCTTATCAATTCATTACCAACCACAAAACTCTACTTTTTTTTTTAAAACAACTCTACTTTTCTTAAAAGCTTCACCTCTCTTTTGTCCCAATCTTAGGGGGACGGATGTAGTATTCTTTATGTTTTGTCGAGTCCTTGTTCTTCGTTCATTAAGTGACACTACACATTATTTAGGAGACAAGAAGACCGGTACATAATTAATTTTTTTTATGTTTTATTAGTCATTTTGTTGGTCCCTATATCCACACTAAAGTATATAAAGAGTGATCAAATAGTGTAGAAGAATCTTTCCATTGAAGAGATGAAGTTTTACAGAAGAATGAAGAAACTTGGCGTAAATACTTCTCTCGTAAAATAGCTCTGCGGCTCAGGTGTGAAATATTCAGAATAGGGAAAGCTTGAGATCTCATTCCCTTTAAGGCAATATTTATATGCCTAGGGAATGAGTGATTTGATCTAAGTGTGATTGGGCCTCTTGTTGAAGATGGAGTCTTGTTCTTAGGTTCAGAGCAGATACCCGACCGGGTATGGTCAGCCACCCGACCGGGTATGTTGAAGCAGAGACCGGGGGATCTCACTGGATGTGAGACCCGACCGGGTCAGGGAAGGGACCCGACCGGGTCAGCAAGGCAGAAGCCTTCTGTTTTGGAAACCCGACCTGGTTTCCACCGGGTTTGTGTTCTGTGAAGGAGACCCGACCGGGTCAAATAAGAGACCCGACCGGGTCAGGCGACGGGAATTTTTAAAACAGGCTTAATTTTGGGCCTGCGGCTCTAATCTCAGTTTAGGTTTTCCTAAACCTATTTAAACGACTCTTATGTACTTGTAAACCTCTTGGGACGCTGATAATAATACATACTCTCTCTCGTTCGCCGTGGACTAGCGTAATCACCCCGATTGCGTGAACCACGTTAATTCTTGTGTTCTTGCTCTTAATTTATCGTTTATCTTTGCCTAATCGTAACAATTGGTATCAGAGCTATGGCTGACGAAGGGAAGGTTAAGATCGATAAATTTGATGGTCAAGATTTCGCTTTCTGGAAGATGCAGATCGAGGATTATCTCTACCAGAAGAAGCTTCATCAACCGTTGTCTGAGAACAAACCAGAAACGATGACGGAGGCGGAATGGAATTTGTTGGATCGACAGGCTCTTGGTGTGGTGAGGTTGTCGTTGGCGAAGAACGTTGCCTACAACATCGTCAACGAGAAGACAACGTTCGGACTGCTCAAGGCGTTATCCAACATGTATGAGAAACCCTCAGCAGCAAACAAGGTTTTCTTGATTAGACAGTTGGTGAATACAAGAATGAAGGAAGGTGCTTCCGTGACAGATCACATCAACGAGTTTAATTCAATCATATCCAGGTTAGGCTCGGTTGAGATTAAATTCGATGATGAAGTCCAAGCATTACTTTTGTTATCATCTTTGCCCGATAGTTGGTCCGGTACAGTCACAGCGGTTAGTAGTTCATCTGGAACCACTAAGCTTACCTTTGAAGGTATTCGTGACTTAATCCTTGGTGAGGATATCCGGAGGAGGAGTTCGGGGGATAGCTCCAACAGTTTGTTGAGTACTGAAGATAGGGGCAGAAAATCCACTAGAGGAGGTAACAAGAAGGGAAGATCGAAGTCGAGAAAGAGAGGGCAATCCAAGAACCGGAAGGACATCAATTGTTGGAATTGCAAAGAGAATGGACACTTCAGAAATCAGTGCCCAAAACCCCCTGCAGACAAAGGCAAGAAGGAGGTGAACGTGGCAGAGGATTATGAAGATGTTCTAATTTGCAGCGTTGAGAATTCAGTTGAGTCCTGGATCATGGATTCAGGTGCGTCGTTTCATGCTTGTCATTGCAGGGATTTGATGAAAAATTTCAGGCCCTACAACGGAAGAGTTCGTTTGGCGGATGACAAATCCCTAGAGATCACGGGTATTGGGGATGTTGATCTCAGTACCACTTTGGGTACAACCTGGAAACTGAAAGATGTGAGGTATATTCCAGACCTGAAGAAGATGTTGATCTCAGTTGGACAGCTTGATGAGGAAGGCCATAACGTTAGTTTTGGCAACAAGCAATGGAAGGTGACAAAGGGAAAGCTGGTCATTGCTCGTGGGCAGAAGCATGGTACACTGTACATGGTTGAAGTGTCCACAGATGGGGCAAACGCAGCAGTTGAAGATACAGGGGTCTCTACTTTGTGGCACCAAAGACTTGGGCACATAAGTGAGAACGGAATGAAGATGCTGTCTTCAAAGGGCAAAATCCCAGATTTGAAGAATTCAAAGTTGAGCTTTTGTGAGCCATGTGTTCTAGGCAAACAAAAGAGGGTAACCTTTGTGAAGACAGGGCAGCAACCCAAGATTGAGCGGCTGGAGTTGATTCATTCAGATGTCTACGGACCGACAAAGGTCTCTTCGATTGGAGGTTCCCGGTACTATGTTACATTCATTGATGACTCTACACGGAAGGTATGGGTTTATTTTCTTAAGAATAAATCCGATGTCTTTAACACTTTTAAGAAGTTCAAAGCTGCTGTTGAGAATGAAACAAATCTTAAGATTAAGTGTTTAAAGAGTGATAATGGGGGTGAGTACAGTAGCACAGAGTTTGTAGAGTATTGTGCTGAACAGGGGATCAGAATGCTGAAGACGGTTCCAGAAACACCACAGCAAAATGGTGTTGCAGAGAGGATGAACAGAACACTGAATGAGAGGGCCAGGAGCATGAGATTGCATGCAGGACTTCCAAAGATGTTCTGGGCCGATGCGGTGAACACAGCAGCATACTTGATCAACAGAGGACCCTCATCTCCCATAGGTTTCAAAATTCCAGAAGAGGAATGGAAAGGTCGAGAGGTATCTCTTACTCACTTGAAAGTTTTTGGTTGTATTTCTTATGTCAAAGTTAGAGATGCAGATAGTGACAAGCTCGAGGCAAAGGCAAAGAAGTGTATCTTTATTGGGTACGGGATGGATGACATGGGCTACAGGTTCTGGGACAACCACAGCAAGAAGGTTATCAGAAGTAGAGATGTCACTTTCAACGAGAATGCTCTGTATAAAGATGGTCTTGCAGCAGAAACTAGCAAAGCCAAGCAACCAGAAAACAAGCAACAAGTGGTGTTTGACGGGATGACTGAAGATGACATAGCACAACCTGTTGGTTGTGATGAGACAACAGGAGGTTCAGGGAGCAGTGGGAGCTCAGGAGATACAGGAATGTCTGAAGATAGTGGGAGTGATGAAGATGGTGAAAATTCAGAGGCAGCTACTCCTCAAGTCAGACAGTCCACCAGAATCAGAAGACCTCCTAACAGATATTCTCCTTCAGCAAATTATTTGTTGCTGACCGAGAATGGAGAACCAGAATCTTACTCAGAGGCGCTGACCGTGAAGGATTCCATACAGTGGAAGAAGGCCATGGAGGATGAGTTAGATTCGCTTGAGAAGAACCAAACTTGGTCCTTAGTCAAGCTACCACCGGGAAAGAAAGCTTTGGAGAACAAGTGGGTGTTCAGAATCAAAGATGAAGCTGATGGGAACAAAAGATACAAGGCGAGGCTAGTTGTCAAGGGGTTCCAACAGAAGAAGGGGGTTGATTACAATGAAATCTTCTCTCCGGTTGTGAAGATGACTACTATCAGGTTGATCCTTGGTATCGTTGCTGCTGAAAATTTGCATTTGGAGCAGCTGGATGTGAAGACTGCTTTTCTTCATGGTGACCTTGAAGAAGACATTTACATGGCCCAACCAGCAGGTTTCCCAGTGAGTGGTAAAGAGAAGATGGTGTGCAAACTCAAGAAGAGCCTATACGGGCTGAAGCAAGCTCCTAGACAGTGGTACTTGAAGTTTGACAGTTTTATGCAGCGGAATGGGTACACTAGATGCAAGATGGACCATTGCTGTTACTTGAAGAAATTCGAGTCTTCATACATTATTCTTCTTTTGTATGTTGATGACATGTTGGTGGCTGGAGCAAACATGCAGGAGATCAACAAGCTCAAGAAGAAGTTGTCTGAAGAATTTGAGATGAAGGATTTAGGGGAGGCGAGACAGATTCTTGGGATGAGCATAGTCAGAGACAAGGTGGAAGGTACTTTAAAGCTTTCACAGCAGAAGTACATTCAGAAGGTCCTTGAGAAGTTCAGAATGACGGATGCCAAGCCAAGGAGTACACCGTTAGGGAGTCAGTTGAAACTCTCCAAGCAGCAGTCTCCAAAGACCAATGAAGACAAAGATGAGATGGCTAAAGTTCCTTATGCATCAGCCGTTGGCAGCTTGATGTACGCAATGGTGTCAACAAGGCCGGACATTGCTCATGCAGTGGGAGTTGTTAGCAGGTTCATGTCAAATCCAGGGAAGGAACATTGGGAAGGAGTTAAGTGGCTGTTACGCTACTTGAAAGGTACTTCTGAAATTGCTCTTTGTTTCAGGAGGAATGGAGCAATTCTAGAAGGTTTTGCAGATGCTGATTTGGGGGGCTGTCATGATTCCGGGAAGAGCACTACGGGTTACATATTCACTATTGGAGGTACGGCAATCAGTTGGATGTCCAGATTACAGAAGAGTGTAGCTCTTTCAACCATAGAAGCAGAGTATATGGCTATTGCTGAAGCGGCCAAGGAGATGATTTGGTTGAAGAACTTTCTTTCGGAATTGGGCATGAAACAGGGGGATTGTGGTCTGTACTGTGACAACCAGAGTGCTATTCATCTCGCGAAGAATCCGGTGTTTCACAGCAGAACGAAACACATCAAGATGAGGTATCATTTCATTCGAGAATTGATTGAAGATGGTACTATAAATTTGAAGAAGATCCTTGGTACGAAGAATCCAGCAGACATGCTTACCAAGGCGGTGACAACGGAGAAGTTGAAGCTATGCATGGCTTCAACGGGCCTTCCAGATACTTGATGAGAAGGCGCGGACGAGAGAGAAAGAGAAAAAGAGAGAGAGAAATCAGGGGTTTTACAGAAGATACATGTTCTTGGATGGCAGATAATTGTTGACCAAGCCTCCAAGTGGGAGATTGTTGAAGATGGAGTCTTGTTCTTAGGTTCAGAGCAGATACCCGACCGGGTATGGTCAGCCACCCGACCGGGTATGTTGAAGCAGAGACCGGGGGATCTCACTGGATGTGAGACCCGACCGGGTCAGGGAAGGGACCCGACCGGGTCAGCAAGGCAGAAGCCTTCTGTTTTGGAAACCCGACCTGGTTTCCACCGGGTTTGTGTTCTGTGAAGGAGACCCGACCGGGTCAAATAAGAGACCCGACCGGGTCAGGCGACGGGAATTTTTAAAACAGGCTTAATTTTGGGCCTGCGGCTCTAATCTCAGTTTAGGTTTTCCTAAACCTATTTAAACGACTCTTATGTACTTGTAAACCTCTTGGGACGCTGATAATAATACATACTCTCTCTCGTTCGCCGTGGACTAGCGTAATCACCCCGATTGCGTGAACCACGTTAATTCTTGTGTTCTTGCTCTTAATTTATCGTTTATCTTTGCCTAATCGTAACACCTCTTTATTAAGGTGGTCCAAATGCCACATTACAAGGCTTTTCCTAAAATAACTAGTCTAATAATAGTCTATTAATTAGACTAAATGCAACACAAATACAACTAATTAAAACATGATTTAACATCATAAAATATAAAAAGCAATGTTGGAGTAACTTTTGTGTCTAAATTGGTAAAGTGAACCATTTTAGTTATTGTTTTCTATATTTTTATGACTTTTTTTAATAAGATATACTATGTACTACATATTTCATTTTTTCAAATTATTTCAAAGTTTGAATGTTATCAAATGGGCTAAGATTGTCACGGTCACAACCAAGACACTGATCACTATGAATTGAATGAGGCTATTAATGTCAAAAAGCCATATTTATGTAACACATCCTTATTTTCAGAAATGTTTGATCTTTTAGTAGACATAAATGTCGAAATGACAAAGCTAGCAATTAAGATGTAGTCATTCACTATAGCTCAACAATTCATTGTGGTAGTGCTCACTAGTGCTAGTTTATAATGTCCTTGGTCTCATATAAATTAATCCTCTGGTAACAGCTCAAGATGCTTACAAGTTCATCATCAATTGGTTGAGAAGATACCCAAATTACAAGAACCATGATTTTTATATTATTGGAGAAAGCTATGCAGGTAATTATAATTCAAGATTATTGGTCGATCTAAGCTTGACATGCATGAGCCTTTTTTCTTATTTAAAAATCCACTAGAAGATGAGCAAGAGTAGTTGAGATTTATTGACAAGCTCTCTCTTTAATCGTGCATGTCATAGGACACTACATCCCACAACTTGCTGATTTAATTGTCACGAGAAATAAGCTGCCCAGAACAACCATAAAGATCCAACTCAAGGGAATCATGGTATGTAGAACGTATGCATAGTTATGGTAATAAAAATGTTTGTTTTAAAGTTAGTTTTATATATTATGAAAAGTTATATATTATATAACTTATAAGTTTTATAAGTTATAAGTTTTATATATTATAAATAATTTTTATTAAAAGTACGGAGTATAATTAACCAAACTTGAAGAAGAAGAAGACCGATCACCATCCAATAAATAAAGTCAAATAGTTTTAAAGTTTTGTGGAGGGTACATTAACATTTAATAACTAACCATCAACCTCTTCAAAAAAAAAAACTAACCATCAACCATGCACATAAGACTTTTACTATTCAACTTAACATGCATACATGTGTGATTATATATATACTCCCTCCTCTCTGATTTAAGTCTCTAGTTTGATTTACATTGGCTGCCCAAGTCCATATTTGACTATTACCACATACTACCTCCGTCCCTTTAGAAGGTTCCTGTCCACTATTCACATGGTTAATTTAAATTATTTTTAATTTTTTACTTTATAAATCAAATTTTTATCAAATTTACATTTTTTATCAGGCTTTGAATATGTAAATTTTATTGGCAGTGCGAGACTTTAAACATGACCATATTTTCCACACTTGGCAATCATATTCTGGGAATAAAAATATGACAATCATATTTTAGAATTTTCAAACTTTTTTAGTTTTATTTCGAGAATTTTTACGATATATTAATATAAAGTATTTAATTATCAAAAGTACTGCTATAAAATAATTTAATTTGATAATTAGCAGTGGAAGTGACAAGCACCTTGTGGGTCGATGTCATTATTGTGACACTCACAAGGAAGAGGTCACATGGTCATACCTCATCCTAGTTTAGGGATGTTGGCATTTAACAAAGAGCATCATATACTATAATAGAAGTGTGAGTACATTAAAAACAGTCCAAATTAATAAATTTTGATCCAAAAAATCTAAGCATGAACTTAATTCGGGGAAGGAAGAAGTATGATATGTGTGTTTGTGTGTTAATTACTCCCTACCGTTTCTTGGTTTGACTTTTGTAGATAGGAAATGGGATACTAAATGATGACACCGACATTAAAGGACTTTTTGACTACTTATGGAGCCATGCCCTAATCTCAGATGAAACTCATCTAGGGCTGCAAAAGTACTGCCTTACAAACTCTAGCAGCAAAGAATGTTCTGACTTCTCGAATGCAATGGATACAGAGATCGGAGATAATATAGATCCTTACAACATCTATGGCCCCTTGTGTTTGGATTCTAATAGTTCTTCAACTGAGATAAAAAATAAAAAGATTTACGGATACTATCCTTGCGGAAGTCATTATGTGAGGAAATACCTCAATCTCCCAAAGGTGCAAGAAGCCTTGCATGCCAACACCACCAAGCTTCCCTTCCCTTGGAGCACGTGCAGGTTGGTCTGCTCTATATTTCTTATTTTTGGCTTTGATTTTAATGTAGTGGCCCATTCTACAAAAAAATTATTGCACGCTATCTATTTGATTTGTGTGTTATAATAATCATATGTATAAGTCATATTGTTCGATTTTGGTACATTGTTGAAGTCCTGTGATTACGCAATGGATAGACAGCCCACCATCAATGATCCCGATATATAAGAGGTTAATTGCATCTCGTCTTCAAATTCTCATGTTTAGGTATGTGATTATAACTACTACTCTCTGTATCTCTCTCTATACTACATATATATATACTCTATATATATATATATTGACAATATATCTATCGATCTATAAGGAGCCATACATATGACTAGGAAGCCTAAGCATGCATATAAAGAAAAAAGTAATACCACATTGAATTGATTACTTACTATACATGCAAAACACCGGCCAGTAAGAGTGTGTTTGAGAGTTTGGGGGAAAAGGAAGGGAAGGTTTTGAAGGTAAGTTGTTGGAGGGGAAAGAGAGAGAAAGGTGAGGAAATTCTTCTTATTTGGGAGTAGTAATTTGAAAAAGAGAGTTATAGAAGAAATTATAATTAAAATTGTTTTCTGAAATATGATGAACTCAAACTAATAATGATTTTAAATTCAGCTTAAACTATCATTTGGTTAGTTATCCTTCAAATCCCCCATTTTGAAGGAATTTAGAAAGTAAGCATTTGAGGTGTTTTTTAGGGTTACAAAAACCTTCCAAAACTATTCCTCCACATTTTTAAAGCTCCCTAACACAAATAAGAGGATCGATCACCAACCATTTCATGTCTTCCTCTGCCTCCCGAAAATCAACTCCAAGCACTGTAGCACACCCTAAGTAAGAAAAAGCTAAAGGTTTCAAGTAACATATATAAGCATTCCGGAGTAGTTTTGATGTGAGTTTTATGGCACTTAAAATAGATCGTAGTATAGTGGTGAAGTACGAGTATCGTCTCCACTACAGCGACAGACAAAAGGGAATCAAGAATTAATTAAATTCAACGATTAAAAAGAAATAAAATAAATGCGTCGTGCGAGATAAATGGTTGATTTGGAAATTAAAATGCGAATGAAACGATTAGACTAAGGGGTTCTTTCTAATTAATGACGAAGGGAACATGGATTGATTCCGGGGTAACCAGATTTCTGGAAGATCAGGCTTAATTACATGAAATTAATTTAATTGGGCCTAGCTAATCATTACTAAGTTCTTACCGCTCTTGCGGCATAGAGTACAATAATTTAGGGGACTAGGTTGATCTCTCATGCGACAAGATCTTAAATTATTGCCAAGACGAGCGAGCTCATGACCCCTTAATCACTACTAATCTCTTAGCGAACGATTAAGTGTGTGTGAATGTGTCCTAGAATAAACTAGATCTCTCTTAATTTATTCTACAAACAATTGTAATTCTAGCGGCCGTTCTAGGTTACAAAAGATATGAGTTAAATTATTCAAACACAAATTAAACGACATTCATGCAATTAAACCATCAAGAATCTAGCCATACATTATGATTAACCCCTTCATCAATCCCAAATCCTTAATTAAACTACTCACAATTCATAATTGAAGAATCAACAGAATTGGGATGAATAGAATAAATTGTCATTAATTAAAAAGATGAACTTACAAATAATCTCAGGGTCTTGGAGTAAACAATGATAAAAATGCAAGTAATTTCGCCCCTAGGCCTCTCCGTAATGTTCGTAACACTTAAAAGGGGTTAGGGAGGCCTTAGTTATAGAAAAAAGGGGGAAAATATGAATTCGGGCCGATTTGGGATTCAATTTCGCAGAACCCGGGGCTACGAACGACGTGCGTCCCCCCCCCCCCCCCACGCACGGCCGTGTGTTGCTGGCAGTGTCTTCCTTGCTTTCTCGACTCAGAAGCACGGTCGTGCGTTCCCCTACGCACGGCGTACGTCAAACTTCCGAATTTGACAAAACTTCCTTCATGAAAGTTGTAGATAATGAAGTCCTCTATCCACTACAATTTGCCTAATGTGATTTGAATCATCCAATCAAGAGATTGTTGGCTGTATTCTTCCCACATCAACGTGTTGACCGTGTTGCTCCTAAGTTGACTTTGTTGACCTTCTAACTCCAAGAATGGACCTACAGAATGATCACTAAAAAAAACACATCAAAACATGTTAATGGCTCGGGACGCGTCAGACGCTGTCCTAAGGAATTATTTCCGGCGTACGGAAATTTCCCCCATGATATAACGAGCCCTTCAGTTATCAAACCGGTACCAGAACTAACGAGAAGAAAATAGTATATGAACCCAGTAATAAAGGTGATGGTTAATTTGTTGTATACTTGTATACACACTTCACCGTAAATACTTTTTCATCTATAGAAAATTAAGGCATATATGAAGGTGGTACGTAGCCTTCTCTCTTTGTAATCCCACAACACCCATAACCCATTTTCCCTTTTCAATAAGCAGAATGAGTGCAACAACTCCAGCAAGCATATATGTCTATTCTGCCAAGTATTTTTGTTTTGTTTGTGGCTGCAAGCATCTTATATATATGTCCAAATACACAATGAACCGAACGTAGGTTACTAAAGGGTCACCATATAAACTTTAATGAAATTAAAGTATGAATTATGTAATATTAAAGGCATTTAAGGAATAATGAATAATGATACAAAGCGTTTTTGTATTAACTCCTAATGATGCCCAACGTTAGAAAAAGTTTAGCCAAATTCATATATTAAGTTAATTGTTTAACGTTTAGTAATGGCTTCACAAATGGTAGGGTAAAATGGTTTTTAAAGTCGTGATAAAATTTCCTAGAAAAATAATTGAAAAACTTATTCATTTGAAATATCCCAAAATTTCCAACAATCCCCCACTATTTCAAATGAATAATTCTAATTATTGAAAAATAGCAATTCCTTATCGGGTTCATATATGGGGTGAGATTTTTCAATCTGGTGTCGCGTAGACTTGAACCAGACCTAGACGTCTAAGTCTTTAATTACCGAGTTTATTGGTGAAACACATAGTTTTTATGAACCAATAATCTACTTTGGTAAGTCAGTGTCTTCGAGGATCATTTTTCACCCCCACCTTTCTCGCCATTATCGCCGTTGTGCGCCTTTAGGCCGTGTGCGTGCCTGGTTTTATTGAGTGCTTTAGAAACGTTGTCAATGTTTCATGGAGGCGGCCCCACCTCACACTCATATAGGTGATATCATCAAGTGTGTACCGCTTTTTCACACCACACTTAAATTAAGAGTTATGATAATCATTAAGAGCTTTTAGCTCAGCCTCTCAAAGAATGCAGTTCTAGCCTATATCTCACATCATGGAAATGAGCTATTTTAGTTAGGCTTGTGAAATAATGGGAAAGAGGTACTCCAATAGGAGTCCTGGCAGGTATATTTATACTGAATAAGAGTTTCCAAAAGATACAAGAATTCCTATTTTATATTAACTATTACACCCCTCAAGCTGTGCGGGAGATACAACGCGCAGGTTGTTCTTTAAAAAATTAAACTGCTGACTAGATAAAGCTTTAGTGAATATATCCGCAAGCTGTAAGTGTGTGGGAACATACTTCACCAATAGATCACCATGAGCAACTCTCTCGCGAACAAAATGATAATCAATCTGAATATGCTTGCTGCGAGCATGCTGAACAGGATTAGCAGTCAAGTAGGAAGCCGAGATATTATCACAAAATAACTGCACTGGATTACGGACAGGGTAGCCGAGCTCAAATAGGACCGAACGTATGTGAAGCGTGTCCTGTACTGTATATGCTATGGCTCGATATTCTGCCTCTGTAGAAGACTTAGACACCGTAGGCTGCTTTTTGGATTTCCAAGATACAAGATTAGGACCCAGAAAAATAGCAAAACCTGTAGTAGAGCGGGAAGTGTCTGGACATCCTGCCCAATCAGCATCGGAGTAAGCCAAAAGATACAAGGAGCGTGCAGATTTTTGAAGCCATAAGCCATGATCAATGGTACCCTGTAAGTAGCGAAATATGCGCTTGACAGCAAGCATGTGAGTGGTGCGTGGGGCATGCATAAATTGAGACACTAAATGAACTGCATAAGTAATATCAGGTCTTGTCAAAGTTAAATATTGCAATGCACCTACCATACTTCGATACTCCGTAGCATCAGCAAGGAGTTCACCATCAGTGAGAGAGAGAGATGTACGAGTGGCGACAGGGGTACGGACAGACTTGAGAGTGTGTAGGTGAAAACGAAGAAGAAGATCAGAAACATATTTTTGTTGAGACAAGAAAACTCCTGTAGAGTTTCGAACAGCCTGGACTCCCAAAAAATAATGAAGATCACCGAGATCTTTCATAGCAAAATGAGAAGCAATACATGTAATGAAAGAAGACACAAGAGATGGAGAATTGCCAGTAATAATAATATCATCCACATATAATAATAAATACATAACTGACTGACCGGTCCGGTAAATGAACAAAGAATTATCTGACTTACTACACACAAAATGATGAGTAAGTAAGAAACTACTAAAACGATGAAACCACGCCCGCGGGGCCTGTTTGAGACCGTATATGGCCTTGCGTAAACGACACACATGATGAGGAAACTGTGGATGGACAAAACCCCGCGGTTGACGCATATAGACCTCCTCTGTAAGATAACCATGAAGGAATGCATTTTTTACATCCAACTGACGCATAACCCACCCAAAAGAAATAGCAAGAGTAAGAACTATACGAACAGTGGTGGGTTTAACGACAGGACTAAAAGTCTCAGAAAAATCTACTCCAGCCTGCTGATTAAACCCTTGAGCAACCAAACGTGCTTTGTGGCGCTCAATAGACCCATCGGAGTGAAACTTAGTTTTGTAAATCCACTTTGACCCGACCACATTTTTAGAGCTATCAAATGGAACTAAATCCCAGGTATTATTGGAAATAAGCGCATTAAATTCATCCGCCATAGCCTCACGCCAAACTAAATGTTTTTGTGCCTCAGAAAAACAAGTCGGATCGGCTGCACTAACCACTGTGTTTAACGTAAAAATTGTTTTTGGTTTAAAAATA